AAACACCGCGTATACTACGAAAGCTTCTGAAAGTTCATCAGATGTGAAAAATTTGAAAGACGTTATTACTAAAGATGCAGGAAAAATATCAAAAAAAAAAATGGTATAAGGTTTTTATAATTGTCTCTATTTCCTAAACTGTTCAAGGTTTTACGACTACTATCTGTGTTAGCATTCTAATAATTATTTATTACGCACGTTAGAATTAACCGTTTTCCACTCATAATTGTGGCTTCTTCAATCTGTCAGCTCACTGCAGCATGAAAACATTGACTAGCTGGCGCTCGTGCTTTTACGGCTGAAGGTTGGTAACACTTACCAGATGACAAACTTCAATTGATCTGCTTCTGCAAAAGCCAAGTAAGCTTTTGTTAAAGCTTTTGTGTAGTTTTTAATCTTGCAAAGCTAAGAAAGTGTAGGTGTTAAAAAGAAGAGGAAAAAGAAGGTAATTGCTAAGAGTTGAGAGCATAAATGAGTAAGAAACAAAAATTAGCTAAAACTGGCTAAAGCCTAGTCGTTTTTAGCTGCAGTGCTATTCTAGAATATAAAAGTACAGCTAGCTTTTTGAGACAGTCAAAGATTCTGTAGAAACCATAAAAGATTAAGAAAAAAAAGTAAATGAGATCTTTTTAGCTTCAAACGAGAACGAAGAGCGATTAAACTGTAGAAAACTCAAATCAAACGAATATAAAACTTAGGTTATATTGAAAAATTTGCTTGAATTATAATCAAAGCACTTGTTTGTCATCATACTGCTTTTACTTTGAACTCTTTAAGAAATACCGTAAGCTTACCTAGTCTTTCTAACTGATTCTTTTCTCTGTATATTTCACTCATTATCGTTATCAACTGCTATTAAGTTTATATTATTTCTGTAGTTTTTGACATTGTACTGCATGTATTATTTCAGAGTTGAAAGTTCTGTTTTTCTAATCTTGTACAGCTCATGAGACTACAGAGTTTCTTACTTATCTCGTGCAGGTCAATTATCCTACCGTAGCATATAAAAAGAACCGAAAGCCCCAAATATTTTCACATTTTTTAAAATTATTATAATTAGCGACAAACTCAGACTAAAATTTATTAAAATCGAAAAGCGACAGAACAAAGTAAGAACAAAAACACTTTAAACTGAATGCAGGTTACGCAGAAGAGTTTCCAATAGTGTAAGCTTGAAAGAAAATGAGCTCAAAAGCTATAGAACAGACAAACAACTCACATTGATGAAGCAAATTACAAAATGAAGAAAAAAAAAAGAAAACAAATTTTGCTAAAAGATTTAAAAAAATTACAGTAACAGATAAACTGTTAAAATAAAGGTCTGATTTTAAGTAATAACAATGAAAAACTCTACTTTATCAAAATAAATACTGTTTCTCAGTTTATAAGTTTTTTGTTCCAGTGCTGATAAGATTAACAGAAAAGTTTTCTATGCTTGGAACCAACAATTCTCCTGCAGTAAACATGTCATCTGTCGTCCTCAACAAATGATGCAACTGGTGTCAAAGATGTTTATAGGAAGAATGTACATATTTTTGCAATTTTGGAAACCCGAACAAAAGAAAATGAGATAAGAGATTGTTTTTGACTGATTACCATTTCTTGCTTTTACTCTTCTTTTCTGTGAAGTTTTTAGATTCTCTTAATTTTAGCCTACTATATGAGAAGTTTAAATTAATTTGTTGCCACAGGAATCTAGTAGGTTTTTGTTAATCTTTTGTTACAGCTTTTTTTGTAACAAAATTTGATTAATGAAAAATTGCCAGTGTTGATAGCTGGTTTTAAAAAAAATCTTACTCATTTTATAAAAATGATATTTTTAAGTGCTGTTGAGATTTTTTTCTTTTGGTTTATTTATGCATTTGTAATTCTACAGATTTATTCATTTTTAAATTTATTATTTCATAAACGAAGCAACTACTAGCTTTGCAAAAAAAAAACGCTTTTAAAAACCTAAACATCTGGAAGATACTTAATTCAGTCGTACCACTGCAATTGGTGCAGGTTGAGCAAAGTTGTGCCAATAATAGACTTATGAACATTGTAGAAGGTCCTGCTCGTTCTCAAAATATTAAGCGTTTTGACTACATTGTTACTGCAGTCTTGTTAGAATCATCTGAAAGAAACTGAAAAAAATTGCGGTATTTACAGATATTATCTAAAGCTTTCAAGATTTTCCGTGTTTCAAACGTATTCTTCAATAAGTTTCGAATTTGTCTCTCTAAACATACATCTCCAGCTTTGCCTTCTCTTCTGTATCTATGACTGGAAGACTAGCGTTCAAGTCTTTGCAAGTTTTATTCCCTTTACCAAGTGGTTTCTCAATGTCTCCCTAAAACATCAAACTTAGAAGCAATAAATTCAAATCATTTTTCGCAGAAAATCATTTGATTTTTTTTACTTTTTTAAAAATCGTTTTTGCGAACCAATTTTCCGCAGAGAAGCACTAATTTGGAGCTTAAAAATCTTAGTTTCTTATTCTTTTTTAACTACATTGAAAATCAGTTGCAATTTTCAACAGGAGTTCAAGAAAGTAGAAAAAAATTGGTGCACCTACTTCAAAATAACCATATAATGGCTACAAAATCTGTTTCCTTGCTTTACAAAACCAAAATTTTTAAATACCACCAAAACTTCTTTTTTTTTTGTACTGTGATTCTAAGTTATTACAACAAGTCATTTCTGATATTCTTCTTACTAAAATAAAACAGCTGTTTCCTTCGCAAAGAAATCTAGGACAGGAGAACTGAGAGGTGCTTGTTCTCATCCATGCACTGCAAATGACAAACCTTGAAAAAAACTTGCACTGGTAAGAAACTTCCGAATAATAAGGCAGGTGCCAATAATTCTTTAGATATCTATTGTTCTGATAGAAGTTTTATTAAAGACTTAACAAAAATACGAAAAAAAGTTGCGAAAAGTTATAATAATTGTCTGTATTACACGAATTGTTCAAGACTTCTGCTGCAACCCGTGTTAACATTGTAGTAGCTGTTTCTGTCTTGAATGTATCTGCCTTTAAGAAGTGCTGAAGTTCTTCTTCGATCAAATTTTCTATCAGGTACAACGAGACTTGCTGAACTGGAACGCTGGACACTCATCATTTACTTTGAGGTAGGCAGCTGTACATTCTTTCTCTGATGTCGTGTTTTGCAAGTCTTTAGGACAGAATAGAGTCAGACTGATTTCGCTAAGTGTAATAAAGCTCACTTTCTCTACTACATACGCCATACCCGAAAGACAGATAAAAGTTAAAAAAAATAGAATAATATTTGTTAAAAAATTGAATTAGTTAATTTAGATTTTGATATCGAATAGAAAATAAAAACATTTTACCTTTTTTATTTCTACAATCAATTTAAGGTGTTCCGCACCAAATGCTTCTCTAAACTAACACAAAACAAAATTCGCTTATCTAGGAAGTTATAATTTATATATATTGAAAAACGCGGTTAAGGTCAAGAAAGTTGTGGAATTTTAAAATTACAAGCTAATAGAAACTAGAACTGCAAGATAGTCATTTTCAAAAAGAAGCTGTAAGATTATGTGATAATAAGCAACTAGAAAAAAGTTTCTTTGTTTGAATATCACAGCCCCGATGTTACAGAACAGATATAGCTGTGATAAGGTAGAAAACACTTAAAAATTTAAAAAAAAAGAAAAAAACGTTGTGCCAAATGAGAAGGGATAAAGTATAACTGTTTTTTATTCGAAACAGTGCCGCTATCTTTCTACAGTAAACAAAAAAGTTTTTTAGGTAAGCAAAACTTGTAGCATAATCTCTTAAAAGGCTTTTCGACTTAGGATGACAAAGGAATTAGACGGAGGTTGTAAATTAACCTTTTGAGGACACCTTATTGTCATCATTTTCTCAACAAAATGTTCAAGTGAGCTACACTGATTTGAAAATTACTCAAATCGGTTGCAGGAAGAAGTGAATGCACCTTCTTGTCATTTTTCAAAGTAACTGAAGTTTTTTCAAACGTTTGAAATAGCTTCTTTACCAGGCAGTAGATTATTTTTAATTACGCTTTCTAAAAATAGATAAAAACTATTCTTCGCAAAAAAAACAACAACAGTTCTTTGTTTTTTTTATTATTTGACCTTTATGCCATTTCTTTTTTATCTCAGTCGTAATTTTCAACCGCTTTTATAAGAAACTCATCGAGGGAAGGTTGAATATTTAAAACTTAAACTTAGCAAGAACAGGAAAACCTGGTCTTTGTTCAACAAAACGTTCTCTAAGCTGCCTAATTATTATTCTCGTTTTCTTGCTCTTTTTCCTGCAACAGTGCAACGACGATTCTGACTGCAAGAACGATGTATATGATTATATAAAACTTTTTTATTAGTCTTTTTAAACGCTTATTCACATTTCAAATGGAATGTTATGTGAAATTCGCTGTACCAATAATTCATGCGCATCTCTTCTGTAACGTCTTCTCTGGCATACCGCCGGCTGCGGAGCACTTGTCGAAACGGGACATCGTGCAATAAAGATAGGGCAAGCAGCAAGAGCACATTCAACGTCGGATTGTGACGAAGTTGGCGGAGGAGGAGCACATCGACAAGGAACTGGTCTCGGAGCCGAACAAACACATGCTGCTGGTGGTGTTTGGGAACTTGCAGCAGCTGCAGCCTGACAACACGGATTAGCCGGCTCTGGTCTCATTTGGCAACATAAAACAAGCTCTGGTGTTGACGCGGGTGGAGCTTGACAACATTGTGGAGACGGACGAGGCGCTA